ATTTCTATAGATCAAGAAAAAGCTTTTGACCGGGTTGAACACCAGTATTTGTGGCAAACTTTGGCTGCTTTTGGTTTCAGCTCTGGTTTCATAGCTATGATCCAGGTTTGATATCATGACATTGCGAGTGTTCTTAAAATAACTGGAGGCTTAAGTGCTCCTTTCAATGTTTTAAGAGGTGTGAGGCAAGGCTGTTCTTTATCAGGGATGCTTTATTCTTCGACAATGGAACCTTTGCTTCATAAGCTGATAAAGATTTATGTGGTGTTTCTATTCCTGGGTGTGATGTCTCTTTAAAATAGTCAGCCGATGATTTAATAGTTCTAAACACACAGGAAGATATTAATGTTTTAGTGTTTTTCATTTTGGTTGTATCTCTTCTGCAAAAGTAAACTGGAGAAAGAGAGTGAGGCTATAACTGTAGGAAGTCTGTTGGGGGATCAACTCAGTCTGCCTGGTGGCTTGGTGTGGAAAAGGGGTGGCCTTAAATATTTAGGTGTGTTCTTGGGTAATGAAACTGTTGTGCAAAAAAAATGGGACAATGTATTGGATGTTAAGGGTCGACTTTTGAAGTGGAAGTGGATTTTACCTAAAATACCATATAGAGGACGAGTTCTTGTCATTAATAACCTAGTTTCTTCCATCATGTGGCAACGGTTGATGTGTGTTGATCCTCCAATTTCTCTTTTATCAAAAGTTTAAAGGGTTCTGGTAGATTTTTTTAAGGGGATAAACTTCACTGGATTCCTCAAAGTATCCTGTTTTTGCAGAGAGAAGAAGGTGGTCAAGGCCTGGTCCACCTGGCCAGCAGAGGTGCTGCTTTTTGTTTTCATTTTATTCAGAGACTGCTCACAGGACCTGCAGATCTGGTGTGGAGGAGTATGTCATGTTGCATTCTTCAGAGATTTGGTGGCAGGAGTCTGGATCTGCCTCTCTTTCTGATGGACTCCAGTAACTTTAACTCTTCTCTTCTTCCAGTTTTTATAACAGTATTTTCTCTGTGTGGTCTTTGCTGAGGAAGGATAGACAGCATCAGGCTGAGTCTCTGCACTGGTTGCTTCAGGAACCGGTTCTGTTTGGGAGTTTGTTGGATTCTCTTTGGGGGGCAACAACCTGCCCCAAACTGCTCCACACTGCAAAGTTTATTACCTTGGGAGGGTGGTGGAGCTGGCTGGACCTCGTCTGGATGATCCTGTTAAGCTCGCTGCTTTTTTTTGAGAATAAAATCAGTTTGACTTGTCGTTCAGCTTTTGTGCTACTGGGAGCAAAAGTTAGTGAACATCAATGTTCACTTTTGACTGATTATCATGAAGGTTCTTTGTCACCAAATCACTTGGAATCTTTTCCATCCTTTAGACTGTTTCCTGGGATAAAGAACTGCTCTGGCCCTTTTTTGGATTCGGTGGACAATAAAGGAATCTCCCTAGAAGGAGCTTCTGGAAAAGATATCTATAGGATGATTGTAAAAACTCTCAATCAACACAAACTGAAAGGATGCAGTGACACAGTATGAAGAACTAATTTCTCCTTAAAACCTGAATTCAAGCCTGAATGGAAATCATATATATATAAGCCTCCTCTAACGAAAAAACCTGCAGATTTACAATGAAGAATCCTTCATGGTATTGTAGCTGTAAACTCTTGTGTTTCTGTTATTAATCCTGCTGAGGAAGAAAAAATGTCCATTTTATGAACAGAGAGAAACAGTGTTTCATTGTTTTTCTGACTGTTCGTCTGTCGGCTCTTTTCGTGCTTTTGAGAACTATTTTCAACGGATACGGAGAATTGTTCACTAAACATGGATTTATGTGTGGATTTAGATTCACCGTTAAAAAAAGAGTAAATGTCAATTGATAATTTTATTGTTAGGAAAGGCTAAAATAGCCGT